GATGGAGCTGGAGGATATTATGCTCAGTGAAATAAGTCAGGCGGAGAAAAACAAATGCCAAGTGATATCCCTCATTTGCGGAGTATAACAATGAAGCAAAACTGAAGGAACAAAATAGCAGCAGACTCAGAGACTCCAAGAATGAACTAGTGGTTACCAAAGGGGAGGGGTGTGGGAGGGTGGGTTGGGAGGGAGGGAGAAGGGGATTGAGGGGTATTATGTTTAGTACACATGGTGTGGGGGGGATCACGGGGAGAACAGTGTATCACAGAGAAGGCAAATAGTGGATCTCTGGCATCTTGCTGCACTGATGGACAGTGACTGCATTGGGGTATGGGTGGGGACTTGATAATATGGGTAAATGTAATAACCACATTGTTTTTTCATGTGAAACCTTAATAAGAGTGTATATTAATCATATCTGAAAAAAATTATAAATAAATAAAATCTGAATCACCAAATAACAGCTTCTAATATGCAAGAACAACTCCTCCCTCTTCTAGAAGCCAGCCTTGACCAACTATTGCTGAAACTAGCTGAAGTTTAGTTGCCTTGGCTAAAGTCCTAGGAAACATTTAGCCCACCTCCCCCAAGCCAGATACTCTTAAGAGCTTTCCCACACGCAAGGCCGTTTCAAGTGAACTGCTAACATTAATGATGTCCTGGCTGATTTTCTTCCACCAATTGTACTGCAAAAATAAAGGGAGGAAAGCTGGAGTTGATGGAGTAAAAGAACTACAATAAGAGAAATAGATAATATAATAAGAGAAAGTACACAGTTCTGTCTAAAATAGATAAATCAAAGGGCTGCCACATAAGAGAATTATTTGGAAATATGGAGGTAGGTGATCAAACAGTTGAGAGGGAAGAATGATTGTATCCAAGGAGGGGGGGCTGTTGTTTTTGCTGGAATCTTTTAATATGTTCTAAATCATAAAATTAGATGTATGCATTATTTTGATAACATTAAACAGTTTTTTAAAAGTGAAACTTACAATTTAAAGTAAATACTTGCCATTACATAATCAGGTGTGTCTACAAATTATCCCAATGAAAAGATCTCAACAAATGGAGATGCAGAACGCTTTCTTGGTGGCTTACGGATTTGGGAAGGTCTAGCGAGCAGCTAGTTGGGCAGACCTGGAAATGGGAAGGCTGCCTCCGCCCACACTTCTGTAATAAGAGGCAATGAACAAAAACATTCAGCCTCCACTCAGGCCTCCCAAAGACTAAGTCAGAGGATGTTGCTAAATGGCATACCTGGGGGTTTCTGGGAAAGCATCTTCTCTGTTCTCCATGGAAGATGAAAAGCAGAATTCTGTTCAGCTTGTTCTTCCACTTGATTTTTGTTCTTTTTTTTCTATGCAACTTTCCTTACATTTGACATTTTCTCTTTTACTCCCTTCCCCTTAATCTGTGAGGTTTCTCCTCCCTTAAGTTTTTTTTCCTACAGCTTTATTTTTCTTTCTAATCTTAAATTCTTCCTGCCATCCCTACCCTATATCTTCTCATCTCAGTTTTCTCTAAGTCTTGGCTGATACTCATGCACTTTTGTCTCCTAATTTTCCAAGTAGTTAGCTGAAACGACTAGTCTTTTGAATGCAAATTGTCCATCTGTACAACTGTTTAATATTCCTCAGGATGCTATATAATAATGGCAGAATTATCTTTTAAATTCTTGGGAGAAAGTAATTTAAGAACTGTGATCTGCTGAATTCAAATTGTAGACTATTGTCTTCATGAGTAATTTGAATATTTTCTTCTCTTGAAACTTAGAACTTCAGTTCTAGAGAACTTTTTCTAGAATGACAATAGGAAATGACAACAATAGAATGAAACTAATCTTATAAAGTTTGTCCTTTCAACAACTGACAGAAAAATCAGCCAATAAATTAAGGCTCTTTAGTCCTTAGAGAAATAGTATGATAATATTCAAAGAATGAAGTTGAATTTCACATTTTATTTTAATTTTAAAGTTTCTCAAAATGGAACTATATATTTGGCTGAAAACAGTAACCTACTAATACAAAAACCTTTTCTTCTTTTAAAACTGGGGATTTCATAAGAACAAACCCATAGATCAATGAACAAAATAGAGTCCAGATATAAACCCACACATACATGGTAAATTAATATATGATAAAGGAGCCATGAATATACAATGGAGGAGAAGACAGCCTCTTCAATAACTGGTATTGGGAAAACTGGACAATTGCATGTAAGAGAATGAAACTGGATTACTGTCTTAACTCCTTACACAAAAGTAAACTCGAAAAGGATCAAAGACCTAAATGTAAGTCATGAAACCATAAAACTCTTAGAAGAAAACATAGGCAAAACTCTCTTGAATATAAACATAAGCAACTTTTTCCTGAACACATCTACTTGGGCAAGGGAAACAAAAGCAAAAATGAACAAATGGGACTACATCAAACTAAAAATGTTCTGTACAGCAAAGGACACCATCAGTAGAACAAAAAGGCACCCTACAGTATGGAAGAATATGCTTGTAAATGACATATCTGATAAGGGGTTAACATCCAAATATATAAAGAACTCACATGCCTCAATACCCAAAAAATAAATAACCCGATTAAAAAATGGGCAGAGGATCTGGACAGACACTTCTCCAAAGAAGAAATTCAGATGGCCAACAGGCACATGGAAAGAGGCTCCACATTGCTAATCATCAGGGAAATGCAAATTAAAACCACAATGAGATATCACCTTACACCAGTTAGGATAGCCACTATCCAAATGAAAAGACATAGCAAATGCTGGCGAGGATGCGGAGGAAAGGGAACTCTCCTACACTGTTGGTGGGAATGTAAATTGGTGCAACCATTATGGAAAGCAATATGGAGATTCCTCAAAAACCTAAAAATAGAAAAATCCATTTGACCCAGTAATTCCACTCCTAGGAATTTACCTGAAGAAAACAAGATCCCTAATTTGAAAAGACATATGCACCTTTATGTTTATTACTGCATTATTTATAATAGCCAAGATATGGAAGCAACCTAAGTGTCCATCAATAGATGAATGGAAGATATGGTACATATACACCATGGAATATTATTCAGCCATAAAAAGAAAAGCAATCCCCCCATTTTCTACAACATGGATGGAACTATAGGGTATTATGCTTAGTGAAATAAACCAGGTAAAGACAGACACATACCAAATTATTAGACTTATTTGTGGAGTAGAAAAACAAAGCGGAACGAAGCAACAAATTAGCAGTAGGCTCATAGACACCAAGAAGAGACTAGTGGTTACCAAGGCAGAGGAGTTGGGGGAGTAGTCAATGTTGAACCACAGTGTTGAGTATTTGAAACTAACATAAGATTGTATATCAATGATACTTTAATAAAAAAAACCTGGGGCTTTCAAATTTTTCAATCATATGCTATCAATGTAAAAAATTGATTTATAGGACTCATTGTTCAGGAATTGTGAATGTGTAAAGAATTATGGTTCTTTAAAGACACCAACATTTGCCTGGTATCATGGCTCCCCTCAAATTAATCCACCTTAATTGAAAACCTACGGCTATGGCCTGTCTGTTGCTACTACTGGGAATCTTAGCTTTCATACAAACCTGCCTTTATTTTAAATGCAGTTTATTTATTTAAAAAAAGCACACACCTCAAACTAAATATCCAGTCCATATTTCTTTCCTAACACAGGAGGCCTCTCTGAAGGTTTTTGTAGGATTACCACTTAATAGCAGCCAAGCCCAAAATAAACCCATGAGGGCTTTGCTAGGCAAATTCAATAGCACAAAAAATACCAGTCCATGAGAGTTGGACTTAGCTTTTTCCCCCATTAGCCTCTTTTTGGAAACTGCTCCCCACCACCACCATTCCTTCATCTCCTAATTAGAAAGCTAATTAGGATCCCAAATTTAAATGCAAAATGGGAAGAGAGATCTGGTGCCCGGCCAGGATTCCTTTAACATAAATACTCTCCTTTCTCCTCTTCTGTTAGTGCTGTAAGCTGTGGGAAAAAGGGATCTGGGATGCAAGACTGATTGATGGGCTGGGGGGCAGCGTTTACCCTCAGCTGTCTGAAAGATCTGTTTCACACATTGCAAACCTGAAAAGATAAAATTTAAAAACAACAACATACCTTGGAAAAGAAACAAGTACCATGTAAGTCCAATTATTATTGCCACGGTGACATGAGGGGACATGAGATCGCCTCAAAAAGAGTTCCTGGTTCCACCCACACAACGTCCCAACAGTGCCAGGCAACTTCTTCGGTTACCAAGGCAACCAATTAGAAGTGCTTTTCCAACACTAACAGAAACCATCTTTTGAAGCGCTTCTATGAATCACATTGAATACTGATGATGCAAGCTTAAGTGATACATATTTTTCAAACATTAAAAAAAAAAGACACAACACCATATTGCCATAAAGAAATATTCGTTTGAGATTCCTCCTCTGAAATCTTGACTTGGAATAGATTTGTCGGTCTGGTTTTGTTTGTTTCCCTTTTGGATTCCCGCGGCCTCAAGTCCGAAGGCGATTTGTTTAATTTCCAATTTGTCTGGATTGCACGGGTAAGAGCGTAGAATGCGGAGTGGCTCTCGCTGTGAAACGGGACGAGGAATGGGGTGGGGGAGGATGGGTCCCACAGAGAGCGCCCTTGTCTACTAACCTCTGCAGGGCGAAGACGCGGGCGGGGTGTTGGAGGGGGTCGGGAGCCTCCAGGAGGGAGGGAGGAGGAGGGAGGGAGAGGAGGAAAGAAAAACGTGCAGATGGCTGAGTCTTCGCTGCCCTTACTGGGGCTAGGAGCACCTTTCTCTGTCGCCTGGATCTCTCCATCGGCCGAGGGGCTGTGTCAGGCACACAAAAGCTGATCGGAAAAGGCAGTTTAAAGACGATCCTTTCCTGATCTATTGCCGTGGCCTGGAACTGCCAATATTCCTGGATGAAGAGACCTCCAGGAAGAGCAGACTAGGTTCTTCCCGAAGAGGCAGCTTCCTTCAGGGAGCGCCGCGGTGTGGGGTGTGGTGGGAGGTTTCATTCCCTGAACCACAGTCGCTGGCCGCCGTTCCTCCGCCTCCAGCCCTCGTCTCGCGGGTCCCCAGCCCGTTACAAACTCTCCAGATCTGGGCGCGGGCCTCTGCCCCCGCGCCCCAGGTGTGCGCCCGGGGCGCCCCTAATGCGTGCTGGGCTCCCGTGGGCGCGCGGCAGACACGGGGGGCGCGCACGGGGCGCGGGGACACAGGCACGGGCCCACGCGCGCCAGCTCACCCTCGCCCGCAGCCCCAACGCCCTCTGGGGCGCAGCGACCCGCCAGGGAGGGGCGCCCCCGAGCAGCCCCTCAGCTTCCCCCGCCCCCAGGAGGCGCGTGTCCCTTTCCCCACCGGGTCGCGGGGAGGACCGGCGTCCTTCCCAGCCCTCCAGGTCAGCAGCCCGGAGGAGGAAGGGGCAAGCGGGGTGGGAGCGCTGGCGGTGAGCCCCGCGGCCCTCGCTTACCTTCCCGGCCGGCCGGGCTCGCGGGCTCCGAGGCGCGGCGCTCGGGGTTGGGGACGCGGGCTCCGGCGGCGCCTCGGAGGCTCCCCGAGGTGACAGGGGTGGCCGAGCGGGCCCACAGCGGCCTGGCAAACCCCGCCCGCCGGCAGGGCCCAGGCTGCTCCGCGAGGACCCAATCCGGAGCGGGGGGCTGGCCCCGGGGAGGGGGCAGGGGGCCGGTCCCGCTCCGGGACGCGGGCCCGGACCTCGCAGGCGGGTTTCTATGGCAGCCAGGAGGGAGGCGAGCTCGCGGCGCGGGGACACCCGTCACAGGCAGGAGGGGGTCTGGCTCTGCCGCAGGGGGACCCCCTCCTAGAGCGTGGACACGAAGCAGCGACGCAGCAAAAGAGGGTTGATGCAGCTCCCAACTCACGCCTGCACTGAGCCGCCTCAGCCCCTTGATGAAAGCTTTCCGTGTCCTCGGGAGACCGCCACCCGGTAATCCTCCGACAGAACCGGCTTTCCCGCAAACCACCGCGACAGCTCCTTCGTGTGTGCCTGGTAGGGTTTAGGCTCTGCAGAAAGAAGTGCTAATGCCACCGTGCCCGCATACAAAAGGTCCAGCTGCTTTGGTGCCACTTAGGCAGTGGATCCCTAATCTCCTGCCTACTCCCCAGCTGTGACCCTCCGGCTAACCGTAAGTGACAAATATCTTTCCAGTTCACAAACAGGGAAGCCAAGTCACCGAAATGGGTGTAGAGCCGCGGATTCGGAATGCTACAGTATAGAGGTTATTTATGGAAATTCAAGTCTTTCGTTTTACAGAAGAGGAAACAGAGGAGGTCAGAGAAACAAGTTAACTTAGTAAAGGTCACGCAGCTGGTTATTGGCAAAGCCAAGGTTGGGCACCCTAAGTCACAGCTCAGTGAGCTCTCTTCACTTCCTCATGCTCCCGGATCCTGTATTTATGACTGACAGGGCAATGTTTACAAACGCCCGTGTGCTGAGGAGAAAACTTAAGTTTAAAATTATTTTGTGGTAGAAATGAGGGCACCAAAAGATTCCTTTTTGGGTTTTTTTGTTTTTTCCTATTTGCCAGGTGCTGTTATAAATATATTCACAAAGAGTAACTGATTAGTCCTCACAATAACCTTCTAGGTTAGGTACTCTTAGTACCATTCCTGTTTTGACAGATGAGGAAACTGAGGCCCAGAAAGGTTATATGACTTGCTCCAGGTCACACAGCTGTTCGACGCTGGTGCTGGCATTCAAACCGAGGCGGTTTGACTTCAGAGACCAAGCTGTTCTTCCTTGCTAGCCCCCTCTTCTGCCTTTTTCTTTGTCTGATTACAGGGGCCAAGAACAGGAAGGGCAAGTAAGCAAACCTTGGACAGCTCCATGGACTGCACATTGAGACTGGCAAGAACTCAGAGGAACCTGGAATGATCGCCTCCTTGGTTTCTGAGTGGCCATCTGCTTGTATAGGATAAATAAATGTTCTCTGTGAGAAAGGGAGACCATCTCCTTAAAAGACAACAAGATATTTTTAAAGAGTAACCTTTAAAATAGTACATGCCATCAGTTTTTCTTACTAAAGCAATAAAATACAGGATAAAACTTTATGATTTTAAAAACATAAAATACTCTTTTGACATGACAATACACAGGCTAGGATTTCACAAGGAAACTGTGTAGAAACCAAAAGCCTCAAGCTCCGAATCTGACAGACTCTCATGGGCTCTCCCATTATGTCCCTGTACAGTACCCTGTACAGCACCACAGAGCAAAAGGCTTAGAAGGATACTGAAGATTTCAGGCTATCACAGAAAAGGGAAACTTAAAACAGCATCAGAGACCACTTCCAAAGTCCACTGGCCACATTCGATTTCAGGAGCCCCCCTGCACCCCCTTTCTCTAGCAGCCAGGTTGCCAGGGCCTGCTTCCTTCCAAATCAGAATGCTTCCTTCATGCCTTCTCTTCCCTTCCCTTGTGAGTCCTGGGACTGATCCCCACACCCCCAGCCATATAGGACTGATTTTGCATTCAGTTACCTCTACTTGAAAAAAGTGCCTTTTTCTCCTAGAAAGGAACACTCAACAAGTTGATTATAATGTAAATATAGAGGTTAAAAATTCTTGTTGTGAATAGTGTTGGCAAATATTTTCAACATATTAAGTGAAAGCAAAAGTTACAAAACAGAATGGTACAAATTTGGATATGTATGATTAGAAGGAAATACACCAAACATTAGAAATGTTTTTTGTCACCCGGTGGAATCACAGGTCACTTAAATAATACTTTCCAGTATTTTTCGCATTTTCTACAATGGGCATATGTGTCCGAAAAATATTTTAATGCCAGAAAAATATTATTTCAAAAAAATTGATGAAACTGTTAGACCTATAAAGACAATGTAGGTAGTTCCATGGTTACTGGGGAGCTCCTTAAAATCCTGCTTCCTTGTGTTGGCAGTGAAGAAGCCAATTACATGTTTAGGAATAATCCCAGGTGATTCTAATGCAACAAGTATTTGTTCTATGCTTTGACAAACATTGGAAGTAGCTGAAAGTTTGGAGTTTTGAATAAAAAATCTACACCTTGACTTCTAGCTCTGCTGCTTACTAGCTATATGAATTTTTGTTTTTAAGCATCTTCTACCCTCAGTTTCCTCATCTGTAATCTGTAGTTGTGAGAATTAGTGAGATAACGCTTCTGGCACAGAGTAAATGACATTCTCTTAACCTGGAGTCCATGGTTTTGGGTGGCTGGCAGGAGGCTCCCTCACTGAAAATGTGTGGAAGTATATCCTCTCATCACAATCTCTAAGTAGCTGGGGTCCAAAGAAGGTCAGGACCTCTTCTAATAAGAGCATAATAAGTGGTACTATTATCATTATTGTAAGTTCTGAGGGGTCATTCCACATCTGGCACTGTTCTAGGGCACATAGGGACATCCTACTCTCATTTTCTGGTCATTAAGTTACCCGGCACACGGCATCCCTACCGAATGTGAACCTGGGCTATTCATGGGGTTTTGCGTCTCCCACTCTTCTTTCTTCTTCCCTCTGGCTGGGATATTTGACAAATCTTGGGAATTAGTACTGAAGGGTAGAATCTGCAACCCAAAAGGCATACCCTGTTCCAGGGAAATTTGTTTTACTTATCCTGTTTGGGATCTGTGTGCTATCTGCATCTGAGAATTCATGTCTGTGAACAATTCGGAAAAATTTTCAGACAATATCTCTGAAATGACCCCTATGCCACGTTTGATCTTTCTTCAGGAATTCCAGTTGGAATTGTGAATGTCAGGCCTTCTCATTCTATCTCATTTCTTTTCTCATGTTTTCTGGACTTTTACCTTCTTTTTATATTCTGAGTAATTTCTTCAGATCTGTCTTATATTTCACTAATTCTGTCTTGTGCTGTAATTGTCAGCTGTTTAACCTGCACACTGACTTTATAAACATTGACAATGCAAGTATAATTAACAAGAGGTGGAAGTATGAGAACACTAATTTCATTCATTTACAGCAGGGATCAATTGACAGTTTAAACTTGAATCACTTACTTACAACTAGTAACTTATTAAAATCCTTTTTTCCTTACCTTTATAGGAATGTTTTAAGAACTAGTATTTCTTGCAGTAAAGAAACACTTATCTGAGATTCACCAGTTCATTCATCCATGGCAATCCTATTTTATTAAACAGTTCTCTCCCCACTTCATCTTTCATGTGTGCGTAAAGATATTTGTATAATGTTAATAATTATTTCTGATTAATGGCTCTTGGGGTGGATTTTACTTTATTTTCTAAAATATGTGAGTCTTTTATTTGGCCAGGTGTAACTTAAGAACAGCAAAATGGAAAAGAAAGAAGGTTGTTGTAAATTTCAGTGGTCGAGTGAGGGACCACTACCTCTCTCTCTGCCAGTCTGATTTAAATTGTTGATATTCTGGATACTTTATTTAATTCACTTTAGATTTTCCTGCCTGATCATTTAGTCTAATGTTCAATATTGACCTTTCTTCCTAAAGGCAAAATACAACAAATAGTGAAAGGAAGAAAAAGAAAAAACCAATTGTGATCTTGAAAAATTTTCATTACAAAAGTAATTTTCATATAAAATTTGAGTTCCTGAGATTCTCACTATTGTTGCAACAAACTTTTCTTGAATACGTAGCCATGTATAGCAGCGAATGAAATATTTTCTTATAATTGACATTTGGGTATTATGTACAATTAGATAATGAAGAACAGCTGAATGCTCTGGGCCCATCAATGCTTTAGCAAAATCATCTCTTATGAAAAGTTGTAAAAATCAAATTTGAATCATTACCTTTGATTTTAGTCTGTAGTCTTTAAAAAGCACCTTTTCAACTGGACTGGGGTTCTGAGCCCATATTATCCCCTCCACTGTATTTCCTAAATGTACTGATAGCTATTTCACAGTACAGCTATTCTCTAAAGCAGGTAGTCTCCCAGGTCCCTGAACCACAGTTAATGATCAGTCATTATCTTAAGTGAATTCATACATTGGCATTTACTTCCTAGCAGATATTAACTAACATTTTGTGTCTATGTATACTTGAGTTACACAGAGGAAGCACAAGTATTCCTAGTCAATTGTTACTATTTTCCTGTTTTTCATTTATTGTTCTCTAACATTTCTTGTTTTTGTGGCATTTTCATTTCACAAACATAAGTGACTAGTTACTGAGAAGTAGAATGTTCTTGCTTGATATTAAAAAATCCAAGAGTGTTGTCTCAGTCCAGTCCATCACATGAATGGTAAATAAACATGAACAATAGGTAATTGATAAGATATTTTTAGGAGCACCTGGCTACAACTTTATCAAAGAAGAGGCCATCAAACAGGTTCATTCCACTGGCTAATTGTCTGTGCTTCCCTGAAGTGCTCTGTGGCAGTTGTTCTCCAAGTGTGGTTCCAGGACTAATAGTGTTGGAATTGACTGGAAACTTGTTAGAAATGCGATTTCTTGGGCCCTAACCCAGACCAACTAAATCGGCAACTCTGGATCTGGGGTCCAGCAGTGTGTTTTACCAAAATCCTGATGCACAGTTAGTTGCAGAACCATGGCCTACATATAGTCTCAGGACAAGGGGAAGGCAAAGAGGTATCAGAAGACAATTTGCTGCATGTATCTTGCCAGCTTTTCTGATCTGTTCCATCCCAGACGCATTAAGGGCTGATATGTATTCTGAAAAGAAAATGGGTTTTTAAACTATACTCTGTGCAATGCAACACTGTCATCCACAAGGACAGCTCATACAGAGGTAACTGTGTTTAGTGATCAGGAGTATGTCATCTGTATATAGAGTCAAGCTTCCTGGCTTCAGATACTGACTCCACCTTTTACTGTTTCTTATCTCCTCCAACACTTAGTTTCCTTCATTTATTCTTACCTCATGAGATAAACTGAGGTTGAGGGAGAACATATTTGTAAATGACATTTCCGACGAGGGGTTAACATCCAAAATATATAAAGAACTTACACACCTCAACACCCAAAAAGCAAATAACCCAATTAACAAATGGGCAGAGCATATGAAGAGACAGTTCTCCAAAGAAGAAATTCAGATGGCCAGCAGACACATAAAAAGATGCTCCACACAACTAATCAGGGAAATGCAAATTAAAACCACAATGAGATATCACCTCACACCAGTAAGGATGGCCAGCATCAAAAAAACTAAGAACAACAAATGCTGGTGAGGATGCGGAAAAAGGGGAGCCCTCCTACACTGCTGGTGGGAATGTAAGCTAGTTCAACCATTGTGGAAAGTAATATGGAGGTTCCTTAAAAAACTAAAAATAGAAATACCAATTGACCCCAGAATCCCACTCCTTGGAATTTACCCAAAGAATACAACTTCTCAGATTCAAAAAGACATATGCACCCTTATGTTTATCGCAGCCCTTTTTACAATAGCCAAGATATGGAAGCAACCTAAGTGTCCATCAGTAGATGAATGGATAAAGAAGATGTGGTACATATACACAATGGAATATTATTCAGCCGTAAGAAAGAAAGAAATCCTACCATTTGCAACAATGTGGAATGGAGCCAGAGGACATTATGTTTAGTGAAATAAGCCAGGTGGAAAAAGACAAATGCCAAATGATTTCCCTCATTTGTGGAGTATAACAATGAAGCAAAACTGAAGGAACAAAATAGCAGCAGACTCAGAGACTCCAAGAATGAACTAGTGGTTACCAAAGGGGGAGGGCTGTGGGAGGGTGGATGGGGAGGGAGGGAGAAGGGGATTGAGGGGTATTATGTTTAGTACACATGGTGTGGGGGATCACGGGGAGAACAGTGTAGCACAGGGAAGGCACATAATGGATCTGTGGCATCTTTCTACACTGATGGACAGTGACTGCATTGGGGTATGGGTGGGGACTTGATAATATGGGTAAATGTAGTAACCACATTGTTTTTTGATGTGAAACCTTCATAAGAGTGTATGTATATCAATCATACCTTAATTAAAAAAAAAAGAAATTCAGATGGCCAACAGGTACATGAAAAGATGCTCCACATCACTATTCATCAGAGAGATGCAAATTAAAACCACATTGAGATATCACCTCACACCAGTAAGGATGGCTAATGTCCAAAAGACAAACAACAAATGCTGGCAAGGATATGGAGAAAGGAGAACCCTCCTACACTGCTGGTGGGAATGTAAATTAGTTCAACCATTGTGGAAAGCAGTATGGAGGTTCCTCAAATAACTAAAAATAGAAATACCATTTGACCTAGGAATTCCACTCCTAGGAATTTACCCTAAGAATGCAGGATCCCAGATTCAAAAAGACATATGCAACCCTGTGTTTATCCCAGCACTATTTACAATAGCCAAGAAATGGAAGCAACCTAAGTGCCCATAAGGAGATGAATGGATAAAGAAGAGGTGGTACCTACACAGAATGGAATATTATTCAGCCATAAGAAGAAAACAAATCCTACTATTCGCAACATGGATGGAGCTAGAGGGTATTATGCTCAGTGAAATAAGCCAAGTGGAGAAAGACAAGTATCAAATGATTTCACATCTATGGAGTGTAAGAACAAAGCAAAAACTGAAGGAACAAAACAGCAGCAGACCCACAGAACCCAAGAATGGACTAACAGTTACCAAAGGGAAAGGGACTGAGGAGGGTGGGGGAGCAGGGGATTGATAATGGGATTAAGTGGCATTATGATTAGCACACATAATGTAGGGGGGCATGGGGAAGGCAGTATAGCACAGAGGAGAGAAGTAGTGGCTGTATACCATCTTACTATGCTGATGGACAGTGACTGTAATGGGGTATGTGGTGAGGACCTGATAATAGGGGGAATCTAGTAACCACAATGTTGCTCATGTGATTGTATATTAATACCATAATAAAAAAAGTTGCGCACGTGCACACACACACACATACACACAAAATTGAGATTGAGATGATTAAATGTAAAGTGCTCAGCATATAACAACAGCTCAGCACATCACACACAAAACTTTCAGCCTCGGGTTCCCTGTCCTGATGTAACTGACCCAGAGGTCAGTGTTAACCCAATGAATGAGTACAAAGCT